CCTCTGTCGCGTCTGTCCATTGGCCCGCCCGTTGGTCGTCATGAGACGCTCTTTGCCATTGGGTGCCGGCGCGCGCCATCTTGCCCGGATGGGCCCGATCGCCCTCCCAAACCGTGCCTGTGTCGCGTTCGTCCATTGGCCGCTGGGTGGCCGTATCGAGCGGTCTTTGCCCTTGGGCGTGTGTGCAATGGTCCCTATGCGGCTCTTCCTGCAGATGATCTCAGGTAATCACCTGACGGCATGCCAGCTAATCCAATTGTCAAAAAATCACTGCTACAGTGCCTGTGTATGCATGCGGCGCCTGGTCATGATTATGAAAACAACACAAACTACAATCCAAAGACATGGTACCTTATGCGATCTTCCTGTTTGATTGGTCAACAGGAAATGTGAATATTATGGCGGAATTACCAAGATACCCGCGGACTTTTAGTGTTCCCCCGGCGGTCACTCAGCGAGCGTGGTACTCCTTCAGGAAAACCCACGACCGGAGGGGCAGGCCCGTTGGGCGGAGATAAACCGCCTAATGCACAGGGCGGACCGGACAGTGCCTCAACAACCTCCGCAGGGACAGACAGGGCAACAGGACAGGACAAGAACAGACGGGACAAATAACTATATTGGAGCCTCTTTTATTTACACCTCAATCACATCAGACAATTCGATCCTCCAGGTAGCCACTATAATGTAGTACCCACGAAGCCTCTGCTAAGTGCTACCGTACATAGCCTCTCACTACCCTTGCGCCTCCTGGTTTAGACCCTCCCGTAAGGTATCCTCCAGGCTACAAGTATTCTTCCCCAGGGTACTCCACACCCCTAAAACTAATCCCTAGTTCCCTCCCGGCATCCCACAGTGGTCCCACTCAGGTACGTACAGGCCCACGCTTAAATCCACCCAGTGTAACCTCCTATTACCTAGCACGGCATGGCTTCAACACGCCCGCCCCGGACGTGAACCAAACACTGATTAGCTGGCTGCGCGCGCTCTCTCTCTCTTTTTATTCGCAAATAGCGCCCTCAGTAGTTTAACATGGGCAAGTCCCGTGCTCGCGCCGTCTCATAATATGTACAACAAAATAATCATTTGCGTCACAATATTCACCGTCTATGCATTGTTTTATCCATGCTTTTTCGTAAAAGTCCAAGCCGACGCTGTACCTGCAGCAGTCCATGTCCATCCCAAGGTGCCGGCGCCGTATCCATCCCTGCCGCAGTGCTGGTGCCGCAAACGATTTCAGGTAATCACCTGACGGCATGCCAGCTAATCCAATTGTCAACAAATCACTGCCACAATGCCTGCGTATACATGCGGCGCCTGGTCATGATTATAAAAGCAACACAAACTACAATCCCAAACATGCGATTTGATTTTAGCCCACCTCGATTTTTACTGAGAGCTGGGAATTTTCCAAGGAGGATTCTGAAGTAATGTCCAATGAATAGTTAGAAAAGACAAACACTTCGATGTAACAAAAAGAGATCGTGCGGCACACAACTTAGGGCCTGCTCTTCGGATGTTAGGCCTGAGTAACTGGTACTCCTTAATACAAGTATCAGCCAGGCCACAATTTCACTCTCATCTCAACAAAATAAGAATATGACGATGAACGTCAATGTGAGCACTCATTGTAACTTCATATGTACATACATGTAGTACAAGTAACAATACACACTACCTGTTTGAAACCGTGACTATCAACGATTGATCAAGACGAACTCGAAAGCCCGTAGTGGGATTCCCCAAAGACGGCGTAAGTCAGTGTCATACTGCTTCCTATTTATTTCCTATGTTCTTTTTGTCTAAATCCCAATGGGCCACTCCACGTGAAGTTGGGTCTCTTTATTTGAGCATCATAAGTCTTAAAATTGCCCAAATTCAGAGATTATGGTGTAAAGGGAAATGATACTGCTTGCTATGTCTCGAATGCTCTTTTGTCTACACTTCTCTGGGCCACTCCCCGCGCAAAGTTGGGTCTCTTTATTTGAGCATTATAAGTCTGGAAATTGTGCACATCCGGATAGTGTGGTGTTAACTGGAAAAAAAATATTTCTTATTACTTCCATTTAGTTTGTTGCCACATGGCATTGACGTCTCAGCTTAACCCATAATCTATTCGCGCAGCACCCGCTAGTCTAGGCCTATACTGTGACACCGCGCCCCTCCGACAAAGGCGAGGGCGCCCTCCTCCTCGAGACGCGGCGCGTCGGACGGCACGCCGGAGAGTCCCTGAGCGTCTATGGACGAGTCCGTTGGGACCGAAGTATACCGTCCCCCAGGAAAGTTGGCCAATATACCAGCAGAGGGCGCTATTGCCGGGGAGACTGTGTGATTATACAACGCACAAGGCGGAGCCTATGCACTGCGCTCGCTTAACACACAGCTATGCGCGCCTAACATCTGCCTCTGTTAATGGGCAGAGCGCCATCTATAACTTTGCACCGCGCCAAGTGACTAGTGCCCTCTGTCACGCCACAATACTTATAAGAGAGAAACCCACTGGTGCCCGGTCTGTCTACCTGCGGTTGCCGGCGGAGGTGATGGCGCACCCGCAAATTATAAAGTTTGACCCGCGCCATGTTTGGAGCGGTATCCTGGCTCCGCTCCTGCGTTTTGTGCGGGGAAGTTGGCCGGGGTCCCGGCGCGTGGAATTTGTTGACCCCCTGGCCGCCCTCCCGAACCAGTGTCGCGTTTGTCCATTGGCCGTTCCTGTGGCCGTATAGAACGGTCTTTGCCATTGGGCGTGTGTGCAACGGCCCCGGTGAAGATCTTCCTGCAGTTGACCCGAGTACCGGCGGGGCGTTCCTGCCTGATAGCGGCGTTGGTTCCCCGACTGTTCTCTTTTTCCGCTTCTTGGTGATGACGTAAATAACCCTACAGTATTCCAGCTTGATTGGTCCTCGGGAATTTGCTGAATGTTCTAGATATTTTGTGCGCCGCCCCCAAATGTTCCAGGTGCGTGCGTACGCGGTACCGGTTGCGACCTTCCTGTTTGATTGGCCAACAAGGATAGTGCATATTCACGATCTATTCCGTGGTGGTCGAGTCCAGCATTGGTTTATCCGTGCTTTTTCGTGCACGCCCGTGAACCTTCGTTGGCATGAATGGTGAATGTCCATGTCCACCCCTACGTGCCTGCGCTGCAATGTAAACGATCTCCCCTTATCATTTCGCTGACAGCATGCCACTGTCAATCCCATCGTCTAAAAACCATTCTCACCACTTGACCTCGAGGAGAAACTCTCCAGGTCTGTGCTGACACAGTGCCTGAGTACACGTGGCGCTTTGCCATTAAGAGAAAATACATGTAACAACATACAATACAATCCCAAACATTCATTTTATTAAACCCTGATTTTTTCGAAGGGGGAGGGCATGTTCATGGTGGTGCAGATTCTGAAGCAACGTTCAGCAAATACTGAGACTGAAAGACAAACACTTCTATGTAAGAAAAACAGAACGTAAGGCCTACAAAATATATGTAGGGCCCCGCTTTTCAATTTTACTTGCACCCCTTGAAAATAAGTCATGAATATTACTACACCCAGACGACGAACGCCAAGGTGAGCATTTATTGTAATTTATTTAATACTGGTAACAATACACTGTCACTGTTTGCAACCAATAAAGAACGTAGGGCCTACAATTAGGGCCGCGCTCTTCAGATTAAGGCCTGAGTGTTATTGTTTCCTAATTCAAGTATGGGCATAATTACTTTCACCGGTAGAGTGGTTTAGCACTTGAACTTGACTTACTCTTCAGTGAAGTACTTCTTTTGGTGTCAGCTATGGTGAACGGTTTCTGATCGGTAACAACATCTCTCTATAAGCCTTTTCAACTATGTCTGTCTTTATTACTCACACATCTTCCAGGCAAAACAATCATGATTTGATTTGTTGTCCCAGATTTCTATGGCAATCTGTTTTCAAGTGCATGGTTGCATTGAGTTTAAAGTTCACATCACACCTCTGCCCAGATATCAGACACAGTTGTTCACCGTAAAGATTTCACTACCGAAATATCAATACAGCGGAGTTCCTCAATCATAGATAAACCCTCCATAATCTATGTGCTAAACAAAGATCTTCATAACAAGTTATTTCATACTAAAAGTAGCTCAACAAATCAATTTTAATTGAAAAAACTCAAATATCCACAGTGTTAACAAGGTAAATTTAAAAATGTTCAATAGCTCTCAAAAACTCGAATTTTTGCGGCGTTTTTTAATACCAAGGAAACGGGACAACATTTTCCTTTCCCCTGTCTTTATTGACATTATATCTTTAGAAGTAAGCCTTAATTTCGGACTTTCAAACATCGTAGGTCCAGGGCTTTAAGGTTGCGATTTGTTGAAATCATTAGTCTGTCATCTACTAAGTGAGTAGGAAAGGGGGTCTTAATCCGGCACAACAAACAAAATGACGTAATACCGACGATAAGGGGTGATAAGAGCAGATAAGAGGTAGAAATAGAAGGTGTAAGGGTATTAGGAGAGGGATTAGGATGATAAGAGTGTGGTTAAGATGATGAAGAGGGGTTAGGTGGTGGTGTTAGGAAATAAGAGGGTTGTGGAACAAGATAAGGTCATGGGGGTGGTGAGAGAAAAGTGTGGGGACGAGCGGCGAAAATCTGGCGCTGTGATTGGTGGAAGGAAGAGAAGATTAGGCAACGTTGTACGTGACACGCTAATTGGTCGAAAGGAGAGATAAAGTCAGGTGATGTTGCCATAAAATCCTTGCGAGCTGAATGGACAAAGATAAAAGGTGTTGCATAATTTCTGAAGACGGATTGGACTAACGCAAATCAGATAAACTATTTTAATTGGATTGGATCGGAAAGATGAGACCGTAGTGCATTTAAGGGGTACCTGGAGGTGGAGTTGTTATTCTGTCTTCGAACTCATCCTGATTACACCAACTGACGACCAAGATCACTGCACTACCTGAAGATGGCATCCCTGGCTGTTTGTTTGATTCTATTGGCACCCGTCGGAAGGTTCATGAATACAGACCTCCGTTCTAACGTGCAGACTGTGATGACCGAATGCAGAAACGGTTGGAGACCAAGAGTGTAGCGCAAGCATGTGGTAGACCGCCGCCTCGTCTCAGCGGCGGTTCCCCTCAGAGACGATCGTCATGTGTAGTGGACGGAGTCTTTTAAAGATCGTGTGTATATCAAAATCAGAGAATACATGCAGAGGAAGGGCAAACACTTTGCTTGGGTGGCCGGTGCACGAGGCACCACCTTACGGTAGAAGACTGGAGGGCCTTGGTGAAGTGTTCCAGTTATCGAGAGAGCCGCACTGCATGCAGGCGGAGAGACAGTGTGCAAGCAAGACGGAAGACAAGCCAGCTGCAACAGCCAGCCAAGATACTGAATCTGATTTAGGTTCACCTTTCGATGCTGATGATGTAGTCCCTGATACAGACTGTAAGTATTGTTACAAGATCGTTTTCAAATCCTGAGAAGTTGCGCAATGTTTACACACTGTGTTATATGATACATGTATTCACGTGGTTTCTTTGGTTCTCCACAGCTGATCTGATGATTGTTCCAGAGGAGACGGAGAAACAAGATGACGACGAGAAACCAAGTGCCAAAGAGAAACAGGAAGCCAACGAAGCAAGAGAGGAAACACGCATCGCAAAGAAGACCGAGGATGACGAATCTAAACCATCACCCTCACAGGTGATACATTCCTGCATGTTTAGAAGACAAATGTATTTCTATCCTTATGCAACTTTCTACAACTCAGTTAGTATCCGCAGTTGATGATTGGGCCAAGTCCATGTGTTACAGATGCGTCCATCTCAAACACAACACCCTTGTATGATGTTAGAAAGGTGTGTAGACATGTAGACATGTATTTTGATGATGCCGCTAACGATTTGATCAATGGTAAAGAAAGAAACGAATACTTCTTTTTGTTTTTAAATGCAGTAAATCAATTTGATTAAATAAGAATTATGAGTTTGGACGAACGAAGGTACATGTTCAAAAATTTACTGAGACTCTGAAAGCATCTAAAACTATGCGAGATGATCTTAAAAACAGATGCAAACACCTTGTTGAGTAATTGATTTATGTGTGGTTTGTTTTTACAACTCACATCATAAACGTTTTTCAAACTATAAACTGATCCAAATTACGATCTTAAAATTGGTTGTTTTATTTTATTTTTATTTTGAATATTACAATTTGTATTTACTAATTTTAATGAAACCTAAAGCGAATCATGTTTCTGTTTATGATTCAAAAAAGGTTGTTGCACTTTGTTACAGTGAAAGTGATGTAACTGATTTTAACATAACATTTTAACAAATACGTTTCTTGATCTACGATGTTAAAATATTTTACGACAACAAAAGAATCGTTTTATATGTACATGTTAAACATAATTTGCAATTTAAGTTTTTCAGCTCCAAAAATATAATTGTACAAATTATTATCACCACTAATGGGTCATTAGGGAGACATTCCCATAAGAACGTGGCAAAATTTTAAAAAAAAATACTTGTTGAAAAAATTTATGACGCAAAAATAATTGTAGGGTAAAAGATTGTAATAAATTATTTTAGAAAAACTTTTATGTTGACTAAAAATACATGTTCAAAAAATTATAACGAAAAATAATTGTAAGGTAAAATCGGAATTGACGGGCAAAGACATATGGCAAAACGTTACCGCCCGAGCCTAAATTACGCGATTTTTACGCGCCTTTGGAAGATCAACGCATGAGAGCTCGTTTGGGTTCTCGGTGGGACCGATGTTGTCGGTTATATCGTATATCCTGATGTATATTTTAAAAGCACGGGGGAAGAATTTTCTAGATTGTTTTATAGTCCGCAAAGGTACTGGAAAGGTAAAAGTTCAGTAGATCACTTGTATTAAAGGAAGGACGCCGACAGAATCTGGAATCGACAATGGTTAAAAAACAAGCCGAAGTTGGCAGTTGTATTTGCCCTCTCTGAAATACATTCCAAGACCGACGACATGTACAGTGTACATATACACGAATGTCATGTAGGCTATGTGTGGGCCATTTCTCAGAGGAGACCTGGATACTATTAGTGATAACTGCATGGCATTGATTTCGGTCAAGACGACCTTCGATTTCAGAGCAAAGTCAAACACTTTAATTGGGATCAACAGCTGCCATTACAGGAGTTTACAGCTGCCATAGATTTATATTTGGCTTTATGCGTTCAGCCCTCCTACCCGGCCGGGAATAACCGAACGTCAACGGTACCACCCAAACATGCTTGAAAGAAATGGGACTACTTCGGAATATTTCGGCTATTTCCAGAAAACTGGAAAATTCCTCTAATCTTGGTCACGTGACATTGGGTGACACCGGACCCTGATTCGTCGGACCCGGCTGAAGGTAGCCCGCGATTCAGCCCGTGATTCGGGTTCACGCCAATAACGAAAAACATGCATTAAAGGGAGGCAGTAATTTTTCCACTTGCGATACTCTGTTCCACGATAAACCGAACGAATTTTTGAATTTCTCTCACAAATAGCATTCTTTCATGATGAAATTGAATAAGAAATAACGTGTAGCCTTTACTCAAATTAAGTGTGGTTAGTGGTCTGCTGATTTGGGTCATGCAAAGAAAATGAAAATATTTCGGAATATGTAGGGCACACTTTCGTCTTATAAGTAACAAGCAAATACAACTTGTTGCAAAATGAGTGTTCTTGTATCCTAAAAACGGGATGATATCTCTGAGAGGTGTTTTGTCACAAAAATAGGCATTCTCTATAGCCCTTACTGAAACGAAGTGTGGCTAGTGATCTGCTAATTTGAGTCATGCAAAGAAAAGGAAAATATTTCAGAACATGCAGGGTACATTTTCGTCTAAAATCACACACAATTACAAATTGTGTCAAAATGAGTATTCTTGCATCCTAAAAACGGGATATCTTTGAGAGACGTTTTGATACAGAAATAGGCATTCCATATAGCCGTGTACATTCCTCTGATCTTTGGCTATAATCGTCACTGTTTTGACAACTTCCAAAGACAAAACTGCTCATTTCTCCGCCCCTAAATAAAAAGCACAAAAAAGAACAGGGCACCCCCCTTTTGGTCTGTTGCCACAGGCGCCGCCATCTTGTCTGTACAGGTTGCACTACACCAAATACGCGCCCATATAAAACAGTGCAAAATCGGACCGAAATAGCGCCGCCAGTTGACTTTCCTGAAGAAGCTGGCATCCGTTTTTTAACTTGAAATTCAAGATTTCGGCCAGAAGATCACTTTTCGTTTCAATTTCATGGACGTAAGCCACTAAAAAAAATTTTCGCCTTCGAACGAAGATACCCCCGTAATAGCAGTAAAACTAAGCGCCCGTTTCTGAATGTAACCGCCCGCCTTTATCCAAAATAGGTCCGCAATTTCGGCATTTTTGTGAAAGAAATACCCTGAACTGGAGACTATCAGTCCTAAATTCGAGATTTATATAAATATTTCTATGATGCCTCGTGATTATGGCCTGTCTTATTGTAAAAACCCAGTGGGATCACAAAATATTAATGAGCTCACGCCCAGAAATACAACCATTTGGTGGAATGCACCTTTTAATATCACCTTGAGGACCGGTTTCGCAGTAAAAATGGCTCAAAACGAAGAAAATCTATCCCATGAAGAAAAACCAATTTCAAAAATTGAATACGCTTTCTTGTTTTTCTTTAGAAAGATAATACAGTTTGTCCGTTGCCACTGTTTGCGGCAGAGTTTTGTGCGCAGGGACAATCTCATTAAGTAAACAAACGGAGAAATCAAACATCTTCTGCAAAACAGCGGGACACAGAGAAGAAAAACTAAAAACAAGAGGACGAGCAAACGGAATGTTGATTAGACCTTTCTAATTTCCATTTCCCCGGCCTCTGGGTGAGCTTTTTTTTTTTTGGAAGAAAAAATGGAGAGAATTTCAGGCCCTTTTCCAGTTATTGTAGGACAGAATAGTCAATAAGCCCATCCAAAGAGACTCAGTGTACATTCCTCTGATCTTTGGCTATAATCGTTACTGTTTCGACAACTTCCAAAGACAAAACATTTTTTGCTCATTTTTTCCTCCCGTAAATTAAAAAGCTCTAAAAAGAGAACAGGGCGCCCCCTTCGGGATGTTGCCACGGGCGCCGCCATGTTGTCTGTACAGGTTGCACTACACCAAATACGCGCCGATAGAAAAGTGCGAAATCGGACCGAAATAGCGCCGCCTGTTGACTCTCGTGAAGAGGTTGGCGTCCAAATATTCACCGGAAATTCAACATTATGGCCAGAAGATCACTTTTCGTTTCAATTTCATGGGGGTTGGCCACGAAAAAAAAAATTTATTCGCCTTTGAATGAAGACGCCCCAAAATTCCTTCCTCCATGATAGAACCATGGAGAAATAAAACATTCTCCATGATAGAACTAAGCGCCCATTTCTGAATGTAACAGCCAGCCTCTATCCAAAATAAGTCCGCAATTTTGGGCTTTTTGTGAAAGAAATACCTTGAACTGGAAACTATCAGTCCTAAATTCGAGATTTATAGAAACATTTCTATGATGCCTCTTGATTATGGCGTATTGTAAAAAAAAACCCATGGGATCATATAATATTAATGAGCTCGCGCAGAAATACAACCGTTTGGTGGAATGCAGCCATGTGTAGTCGACGATATTCGTCGGGTAGTCAGAATCTTTTCGGGTCTGGTATCCAGACTAGGTTCCTTTGTTAGCCGTGTGGCAGGGAAAAATTTTCAGAGTTGCACGGCGGTTACCAGCAAAGATTGTATAGCGCCGCGCAGCGGCGCTGTGCGGAACTATACAATCTTTGATTACCAGTTAGACGTGGATCATGTTTACGTGACATGTTGGCCAGTGAATGAGAGCCACATCTGCGTCGATATTCTTCTCTTTTTCGATATTTATAATGAATAATATCAGTTAAAGATGGATGTCAAATATATCCTTTACCTTTTGCTGATTCTAACGTGTATCCAACTGAGTTTGGTTATTGCTGCGTTACAGGGAAGCAAACAGACTTTAGGCCTAGTTGCGAATGGTCATGGCGATGAGCGGCCACAGACACATCACAAACTGAAGGGACGACATCGGCCGCACATTGAAACTTTGAAGGGAAACAGTGACGAAAACCGACGGAGTAAAAACGATGCCAGTGATGGCCAGAAGAAAAGTGTGGACAAACAAACCCCTGCACCGAAATCCACGGTAGTGCCTGAGTTACCAGCAGACTCTGGCAACAACACAAAAGGCGGAACGGGCAATGGAAGAGGTGGGACGTACGACCTACCTGCCCTGAAAAATATGGTGGACACAAAGACAGGATTTTACATCCTGATTGGAGTCACTCTGTTCATCATCGGCTGCTTTGTTATCAAAATGGTCAGGTAGGCAAGATGAAATAAGTCGATTTGTAAAAGGTGGTGACATGGGTGAAAGGTGTGTTAATGGTATGACACTGCAATGGTCTTGTTAACGTAGGGATGTTACAATCCGTGTGCTCGTTGCGGTTGAAATGTCACTACCGTGCGTGCACGGGCGTTTGCGGGAACATTGGAGGCTGTCCCTGAAATGACGTGTTTCTGTCTGTCTGTGGGTTATAAAGGGGGTATTACCCATTAGGTCACCAATATGATGTATTCTAGTCACATGGTACCAACCTTTTCGCTGATCATATACAAGATTATCATTTCGATAGAATAATATCTTATCTACTTTATGGTGAAATTTGAATGGAATCAGACGATGCAAAGTATGGCTTTTTTGCCCCGGTGTTGGCAAAGTTTGTGATTTTTGATCAGTGTTGTGAGTGTTATTGTTACGCCCCAACTATAGCATCTGTCCCAACTATAGTTGGGACAATCCCAACTGTATTTCTGCGGTTGGGCTGGCCCAACTATTGTTCACCAATTTCTATTGAAAAATTCTCAACTTTATCCAGGTTTACGAATCTCGCACTTGACACAGTTCATCTGAAATAAGGCAATTCATCTGTGACATGACATTGTACACAATATGATTTTGGAACATGCTGGGCACATGCACAATGGACCTCTGTGCTGTAGTTGGGCCGGCCCAACTATAGTTGGGACCAGACCCACTATAGTTGGGACTGATG